GGCTCCTTTTGCAATGTAACAGCCGTCTCCACAGAAAGTAGAAATGTAGACACGCGCACATATAGAAGATGCTAAGTGGATGCAATAGCAAAAACTTTGTTTCAGGTCTACAAGCTGAACAACGTGACAGATTGGCAGCTAACCACCTGACGCTAAAGGAGAGAGACCTGAAACAAACTCTCCCTCACAGCCTTCAGCAGGAACCAACTCTGCCAACATTCTGATGCTGAACTTGTAGTCTGCACAACTGTGAGACGATACATTTCTGGGGATTAAAAAAAAAGTCCCGTTTGTAGTACGTTGTCAGGGCTGCTCCAGGGTACTTCTGAGTTTCCCAGCTTGGGCAATGTTATTTCATAATTAGGAACGTGATATGAACTTGATTCCTCATCGTGCGTCATTGCAATGGGAGCGCCCTTTCTCTTTAGTCCTATGTGAGAGCTGAGCCTGCGGCTTTCAACAGTGAGCTATGCTGTTATTATCAACTGTATTTGAAACTGAAAGAGGACAGACTCATAATTTCTGATGCCGGCGCTGATTCTTATCTCAAACATTATTAGCTTATTATATCTGGTCCTGAATCATTTCCAGAGTTTTGGTAAAAATTCAGAAAAAAAATTAAAGTCTCTCCCAATTGTTATTTTGAATGGGCCGGATAGTTCTGGAACTAATAAAAGTAGAGTATATTTCCAGATAATATAGTAATATGAAAAACCTACCTGTACTCGATCCTGTCAGGAACTTTGATGGTTTATTGCTTTACAATTCTTTACACTCTCTCTTTTTCAAAAAGCAGGCCCTGTTAGCACTTTCTCTTGATCTGTACAGAATACTAGGAAAATAATAATAAACCTCTAGGTAGAATAAACAATCTGCCTGTGAGGATTGCACAAGTGCCTTCTGGCAAGTCTAGTCCTTTCTGCTCTCTTTAAAGTCGCAATGTGCAAATTGCTTTGCAGCAGTAATGTATTCTGGTCAAAGTGAGGGGGGAAAAGTCTGAGTCTCACTGAAAAGTTGAGGTTGGTGATTGAATCATCTGAACTTCATCCGTGGCTTTGTGGAATTTGTTCTTCTCTAGGAAAGCAGTTTTTTGCCTATGGATCACATTTTAAGCTACGATTGTCTTCTGTTGCTCTCCAATAAAAAATAAAAATGGGGAGAAATATAATAAAAATTATGGTCACATTTTAGAAAGCACCTTTGCTCAGAATATAATGTGACTCGATAATATTACATGTTCCTACTCTTCCTTTAGTGTACAATAAGATATTTCCTAGTAAAATAAAAGATGGACAGAAATTGGCCTTTTGTGAAAATGTCTTCATGGAGAATTGCTTTCAAAGGATTCAAGAAAAATAATGTGAACATTATCCTCTCTCCACACCCCAATTCATTTTGGTCCTTTCTCCTTTTCTGTACCGTTACTCAGGTACCGTTTTTATTAAGTCATAATGTTGTATGCCTTCTAATGGTGATAGTTCTCATTTTAAAATCCATTTAAATTTCGCATCTTTTAGAATGCAGTGTTTGATATTCAAATGGACATTAAGCAGAGTCGGAGATTTGGCAAAATTGTACCGTACCATCTGATGAAAACTGTTTTTGTGTTCTTTTTACTGATATTTGAGAATCTGCCCAATCACTTTGATTAGCCATAATAACAACTCACTTTAACTTCCAATTTATTCTTTTCATTCACTGTATCGTGGCCTCTAATTGTTCCTTGTTACCAAGTGAGGCCAACCTAGTCTTTGTTTTTTGGTCCTCTTTGTTGTGTTTGCTTTGTTGATTGTTCTAGTCCCATGGCTTTTGACTTCAGACATTTTCCTGGGCCTTTTATCTCTCTCACTGCTCCTACATTGTCTCTTTATTCATTTCTCTCTGTCCACCTCGATTCCTCACTCCCACTGCAATGTCTCCTCTACGCACAGAGCTCTGTATTTCAGTCTTAAATGTATAGCCCAAACATCTCCCCATACTTACATATCTCATAGTCTGCTGGGCACTACCCTAAGATTGTCCCATAGGAAATGTACATGTTATATGCGGTAAAGTGAAAATTCTGTTTTCATCACACATTTTCTAGCTCAGTGGAGGGAATCGTAGCCAGGAAACTTGGGAACAAGTTGAAATACATTTGCAAACCTTCTTACCAAAAATGCATACCTACTCACATAATACTGCAGGTTTTAGATCTCAGTTCATTCATTCAAATCGATCCTTGTGTTCATTGCTTGAGTTTACGTCCTTGTTCTCTCTCTTCCTGCTTCTTAGTCTTTGTTAGATGTCTCTCTCCTTCTCACCCCACCTCTCTTTCTGTCTCTCTCGTCTCCTTTCTCTGTTTCATGTTCCAGTCAAAGCCATCTCCAATTCATCTTCTAGGATGACCTTTCAAAAATAGCTAGTCTTTCAACATCTTCCGATAACTTTGGACATCCACCCAAGCTTGTTAACTCAGAACAGCAGCTCTCTTATCTGATTCTTGCAAACCTTTCCGACTACCTTTCCACTGATGCCACTGCAACGATGAGCTGCTTGCATCTTGGTCAGACCTCATTTCATTCCTCTGCTCTGTCTGTGCTCTTGCTAGTGGGAGGACTGTCTCCTTTTCCACCCTTCACCTTGCTAATTCCTGGGAACTCACTTTGGTGGTGACACTTTCCTCTAGAAGCCTTTTATTGCACACAGTTTCCTATTCCCCACAGGGCACAGAAGGTATTCAGTAAGTATTTGTGGAATAAATTTCTCCACTATGTTTTGTTGAGCTCAGTTTTGGGCAATCAGAAAATATATCAACATAGTATTAGAGCTGCTCACACTATAAAAGTAATTTTCATGTCAATGTAAAATAGGTACCCTCTGCATTGATTTATTTCATGTGAAGCTATGAAAGTGAAATTGAATTCTTTTCTCTTTTTGGAAAATCATTCCCCTGACCTTTGTGTAGTTAGTTCCTCTTTTTAGTATTAAAAGTTAGCATTATGTGCTATGAGTTGAGTAAATAGGAAATATTTCTATGAAAGATACAAATTATCTATATTTGTTTAAACTTGGGGAATCACATATTAAATTCTGGCTAGTAGATATAATTGAAGATGTTTACTCCTTGGTTTTGCTAAGTCAGTTAATAGCCTTTCCAGCAGTTCAATCTTGAGATACAACTCTAATATGTCATTGCAAGAGTAATATAAAACAGCCAATAGCTGTTTCCATTAATTTTCAATTACATTGACAGTTTCAGCTATGCATTTCCTTACTACAAAACACAATATTGTTAGGATGTTTGAGTTTTGATTTTCCTTATTTTGAAGTTTGCCCATTATATCATACTTTTGAAGGTCTGAAATCTTGGAAAACCTACCTAAAATAATTATAGACCGATACTTTTGAAACAAAAGCTCTTTGTACGTACCAAACATGCACATTTCAGCCAGAATATGGATATAGAAAAAAATTCCCTGAGATTCGTTCTTGACACTTTAATTAGGTCAGTAAGTTAACACTGCCAACCAAAGGATTTAAAATGTTCTCAAAAGATTTTTTTTAAATGTGTCTTTTTCCTATTTTTATTATGAAATATTTAATCCCCGAGTGAATATATGTAATGTATATGCAATTCACAGAACATATTGCTGCGTAATCATCTCTGACAGAATGATTTGCCTTGGTAAGAAAATCCTTTTAATAATACTCCTGCTTCCACAGAAGTAGTGCAGTAAGTCACTGAGATTTTTATCGGACCTGCTGAAAAGGTTCAAAGAGAGAAACAAGTAGGTTAGCCATTTCTTCAACCATCTTTGATAGCCTTACCATGAAACATGAATGAGTATTGAAATAGCACAGGACAATATATGTGCTATAAATCATTTAATTAACTTTCCTATTTTTGGTTAGGCCTGATGTGTGAAGATTTTTCTGAGGGATGGAGTTGTTCTCAGTTTTACCAACTTGTCACCTGCCGGTCGTGATCTTGTTCCTCAGGGAGAAAACTGTCTTTTGGATTGAAAGGAAGAGCCCCCTTCACCCAGGAAATGACATTTTCATTATCAATACAATATTGGAGAAAGGCATAAGGAAAATCTGCCGGTCGTGATCTTGTTCCTCAGGGAGAAAACTGTCTTTTGGATCGAAAGGAAGAGCCCCCCTTCACCCAGGAAATGACATTTTCATTATCAATACAATATTGGAGAAAGGCATAAGGAAAGGTGTCCCGCTGCCTCTATGCCACTCCTCTAGCTGATACCTATTTAAACAGAAAACTGGGGAAGCACCAACCTGCTTCAGAATGAGGCCTGAAGTGGCAGATGGTGGGGTTGTATCTGAACCAGATTGTTCATGCCCAATCTCATGCCCTCATGCATTTCAGCTGCTATTTTTCATTTGTTATAAAAATGCCATTATCTTGACCAGTAATGCAGTTTCTCAGATATTTTGCAATCTTTAAAGGCTTATTTTTTGGAGAGTCTGTGCTAGAACACCACAGTCCGTGCCTTGTGTGCATGATGTTAGGCTAATGTAGGGTGGAAATAGCAAATTGACTTTGATAGCGGATTTTCAAGTGTGCTCTTTGTGGATGAAATGCTGTTTCACTTATTATGATTTTTTTCAGGCAGTAATTTATTTGTAAATGTCTTGACTGCACTTTAATGCCACTCTGTCTCTGGGGTGAGTCTGTGTTACAACCAGTCACAGAGATAACAAGATTAGGAATATATCCTCACATGGTATTTGTCTGGGGCCTGAAACTTTCTTTTGTTGTTGTTGTGACAGCCTGACAGGAACAAACAATTCAACAAGATTTAGCAGCATAAGGGTAGAGAGGCTACAAATTAGCATATAGTTGCCCAAAGACTTCGTATGTGCTGGTTCTTTTTATAAGAAGGTCAGAAGCTGATCTTGAAACAGTAAGAGGCTGTCTTAAGCTCATTTCTGCTGTTACTGTTTTGAACGCATGGTGATGCAGAATTTTAAAAAAAAAAGAGAGAGAAACTTAATACTACCTCCAGGTAACAGCAGATCGGTGTCCAATAGACCTGGTTTCTTTCCAAAAGGTGTCCATGAACTAGGTACCTTACTTCTACTGCAGGTGCTCTCATTCAGTCCTTGGGATGGGTGGAAGTTCCCATTCAAATGTCAATTATCAGAGAGAGGCATATTCTTAACCCAGGATTCAGTAAATTTTCCTGTGCAGGTCAGGAGGTAAATATATCAGCCATCGTTGATCATATATCTTTGTTTTAATGACTTCTCTTTACTAATGTACTGTGAAAGCAGGGCACAGATAAGTAAGTATAGCTGAGTTCCAGTAAATTTTTATTTATACAAGCAGACCATGGGTAAAATTTGGCCCTGGGCTATACTTTACCAACTCTTGATTTAGGTTAAGTATAAGAAGTCTATACACATACTCACACTACACTTGTGCCTCCTTCAAAATACTCATGAAAATGTCTTATTCCGTGCAATACAATTTATTCTATTCCAGGACTTGTTTTATGCTTTGTTAAAATCAGAAATTCAGGAGCCAGGCGTGGTGGCGCACGCCTGTAATCCCTGCACTCGGGAGGCTGAGGCGGGAGGATCACTGTGAGTTGGAGACCAGCGTGGGCTACATAGTGAGTTCCAGGTCAATCTCAACTACACAGTGAGACCCTGTCTCAAAAACAAAAACAAAAACAAAAAAAAAGATTCAGGGCTGGGGATTTAAGCTCAGTGGTTCTGCCGCCTGCCTCGCAAGCGCAAGGTCCTGAATTCGATGCCCGGCACCAAAAAGAATAAAATCAGAAATTCAATATATTTGTCACCACCATGCTCTGCTAGTGTGTCACAGAGGAGGTTTGGATTTAAGATAGTTCTTGAAGGTTACCAGAGCAGTCTTTCAGTGCTGATGACAATCAGATACCTAGTTTTTGGGGAGAAAAAGTTGTTATTGCATTGGGCAAAGGTTTGGACTGGAGGAAGTTAATTGTGTTTTTAAACATTAACCCTCAAGAGCTGGCAGTTTTGCTTTCCATGTAGGTTGATTTATTTCATTCTCTGTTCTTTTCTTTTTTTTAAATAAAATTCTTTCCCTCCTCCCCTGTCCCTTCACCACTGGACTGTACCCTACTGTGTGTGACTGGTTGCTGAGGTGCTGCATCGCCTTCTGCATTGTTGCTTGATTTCCTGTGAAGCACAGTGAATCGTACATTAGACTCTTCTGAGTCAGGTGGTGCCCATCTGTTCCCAGGCCTGGAAAACATGAATAACAGAGAGCAGGAGAAAGCAACAGCTCCTCCAGTTTCCAGCAGAATCTTCATCCTCACACAGTGAGAGAGAGGCAGACGATTTGGATCTTACACAGGGTAAAGGTTTATTTCCCTCACAATCACCTAAGGGATTCTGCATAAAAATTTTATTAAAATCACTTTACACATTGGTGCACCCATGGACCGGGGTAGGTTTGTGCCAAGTTGCCTTTGTTGTTCTGGGGTAATGTTAGACTGAAGTGATTTGGAATGGCTGTGGAACTGCACATAATAGCTGCATTGCGTGAGGCTACCCAGAATCCCTGAGAGCCGCTGGCAAACCTGAGCACCGATGCTGATAGCAGGTAGCATCTAACAAATGGAAAGAGAAGACGCCAAGTGGAGCTGGGCTGCCAACCCGTGATAGCAGTTAAAAGCTTGAACTAACCTTCGGCTGCAAAAAATGAGAAAGCCATTCACCACACAGCTCTCAATCCCTGAGCTAAATAATGAACTACAGACAAAATTCTCTTAACTATGTATTGCTCTGGTAGTAATGTATTCAAATTAAAAGCAAATTGCTTTTATAATGCACCCGTCAGTTTAAAGGCATAATGTATACTAAAGTCGCTAAGACATATGTCTGTAGTACACTAAAGGGTCACTCCCATTAAGGTCACATGTGCCCTCCCAAATACTATAATTACTTCCCTAAATACTATGTTAATTACAGAAAACGCCAAAATTAGGACATTTTTACAAACTATTTAAAAGAGTTCATTTTTCTCTCTGCACTATTTTCGTTTAAACTGGGTATTTCTGAGAACTGGCTTTCGCTAGGAAATCAAAACACCACCCAAAAGAAACCTGCTAAAAAGGAAAAGCCTGTAAAAATAAAGGAGACGGAAAGCTACTCAGGTTAACTGTCTAAGCCGCTGGGGCAGCAGAGTAGAATGAAAAAGTTACTGGATTCCACGGCTGAATGTCGTGCTCTCAGGCATATTTAGTGTCATCCTTTAGTACAAACTCAACAGCTTCAAAGAGTCCTGGGCAATGCTGGTTTCTCCAGTTGCAATGCATTCTGATTGGTGGACTCGGCTTGGATACAGTTATCTAGACAGGTTTAGGCATGGATTTCTACTCCTCGGGACACTTCTGTAGATTTTCTTGGCTTCCAGAAGAGAGAGTCTGAAGCTAAAAATGGACAGCCTGTGGCAGCGGGAGGTGGAGGAGATCTCAGATTAGGGAAAAGGGACCTGGAGTGAGTTAATGCAGCACCGCTACTTTAAGAAAAATTTTAGCAGCACAAATGATAGCCTTACCATGTTTTTGTCTTTACCTACTTCTAGCGAATTATTGCAGACAGTCCTAGCCCAGCAAAAATATTTTCAGTTAATGAGTTCAGCTCTGCTTTCAGAACCCCAAATGTAATCTCGACACATTTATAATCACCCTTAAGAAATACAGAACAACAACACAGTGTTGCCATAAACAGCAGGGAGTTTATTTTCAGAAGTACAACGTTAGTGTGGAACATGTTAAAATCCATTCTGCCTATGTTGAGGGTATTTTTAGACTTCCAAAATTCATGTTGCAATTTTCTGTGATGTTTTTTCAAATCCAAGTACTTTCATTCCCACCTATTCACCACTATGTGATCCTTCCGAGGCACTTCTGAACTGAAGGCCTTTGAGTTTTCTCTATGCAGCCTTTATGTCCAAATCTATGTGGTTCTTGGACCTGGGAGTATTTCACAGCATTAAAATAAAAATAGGTTTTCCAACCTTTGATCTACACTCTGATCTACACAGCTGCGTTTTTCATGGATCCAATAGCCACACTGCCAACTGGGGCTGCCTGTTGGGGAGTTCCGAGCCTTTCAAGGAAAACCTTCTGCAGATGCTGCTTCTTGATTCCACTCTGGTCTCCACTTACCTGACATTAGAGGAATTCAAGGACGTCAAAAGGTACACAAAATTCACAAGGATTGTGTGTACTGATTCAAAAATAAGGAGGTGAAATATCTAAGGAGGTCGAACAGCAAGATCATCATAACCCCTATAATCTATGCCCTGGCACACTCCAAGAGTACTTTTCCTTTCCTTGTAGGCCTTCAATGGTTTTTCAGATTTTCTTTGATCTGTTTCAGTGATGAGATGAACACACTCTCCAGCTATACAAAGCACCACACATTTTGCCTAACTAGTGCCTGTGTAGGGCGAAGTGTTTTGCTTTCTATCTCCTCACTAGCTGACCTGTGAGTACAATTGTACTGCAATGTTAAATCATGTGTACATTGGTAGTAGACAACTAAAATTACTTTGCCTGTGTATAAGTTTTCCGTGGTTTTCTTTATGCAAATGTTCAGGGACTTATGAATATTAAATTTGATTCATGTAATTTGTGCAGTTGAGTGGTTGCACTGACTCTAGACAAGTATTTATGGCTCCAGTCAGTAGCTGCAAGAAGTTGCCATCTCTAAGTTTCCCTGGCAGTGATTCCATCCTTCGTGTTCTCCTGGTCCAGTTTGGTTTCTGTGGTTCACTGTTGAAACAGCTGTTTTATAGGGGACCTAAAGAAACTTTTGCACTTGGTCTTTCTGTTACACGCAGGAAAATAATCAGCTCTGGTTGAGCTTCCCTGACCCTGTCAGTGCCGGTTATTGGATAGCACAAAATAGCTAAAGAGAAAAGCAGCAGACTGAAGCGGTGTGTGTTACACATCTTTGTACCACTTACGGCACCCGTGCACCAACACGTTTTGTCAGTTTAGCATGGTAATTGCCTCTTGAATCCATTTAAACTTGTTCTCATGCACGGTCACTACTCTAACTTAACCACCATTATTTTTTTTCTAGATTCCTACACTTATCACCCGACCAGTCGTCCAAATCTACTCTTGACTCGTGCGTATTTTTTCCTCTGAGGATCTTTTAAAAATGCATGTCTGATGAAGTACCTCCTCAGCTCTTAACTATTGAAAGCCGCTCATCATTCTTATGGCAAAAACTAAAATTTCTGATGTGTACTTTAGGACTGCAGAATGGATCACTTGTCTGAGTCTCTGCTCTATACTGGTGCTATCTTCTTGCCATACTGGGTGACCACCGCCCACTTGGACTACCTCAAATATTCTCACTTCGTTTGATTTCCCAAGGTGAGCACCATACTACCTTCAGATCATCACTTGTTTAGGGTCCAAAAGGAGCATTTCCTCCTTCCGCTCCCACTCTACCTGGCCACACAATGACTAAGGCTACAAACAGGACAGCTCTGAACCGAAATGTGGGACCACGGAACGGTGGCAATCTTCCTGCAGAGCTCCTGGCGGGGTTGGATTCAAAATAGTCCTCACCTGAAATCGTCTTCTTGCTTATTCCTCCCCTCTGCGTACCTTTCTAAAAGCATGTTCTCCACTATCTGAACTAGGTTCTGTTACTACGGCACTCATTGTAAAAGAGCACTCAGTATTTTCTCTTTACACCACCCATGCCTTTGTTTGTGTTTCAGTATCTTTGATCTCTGCTTGCTGCTTCCACTAGATGATAAATACTTGAGAGAAAGGATCAAGTGGGTTTTGTCCTCTGTTGTACGCAGAAGACCATGTACATAGTTAATGTTTAATAAGCAATTGTTCAGTGAATGTTGAATTAATCAAAGTGTCATTATTCTGCCTCAGTGAGAGCCAGGGTGGACCTGTAGTTTTCTGACCAATTTGTGCCATGATGACAACTTTTAGGCACAAAGTTACCTACTCCAAGATTTAAAAAAACTGAATCAGAAGTTACACATTTGTTCTCTGACTTGTTTTGGGGGGTTTTATTGTTGTTGCTGTTGCTTTTGTTTTTTGTTTGTTGAGACAGGGTTTCACTATGTAGTGGAAACTGACCTGAAACTCAGTATGTAGCCCAGGCTGGTCTCAAACTCGTAGCGATCCTCCTGCCTCAGCCTCCTGAGTGCTGGGGTTACAGGCGTGCACCAACACACCCAGCTTCTCTGACTTGTTTTTGATTTCTTGATTCCTATCATAAATTCAATATGAACATATTGAATCAGATAGCTTTCTTTAACTTCGCTTTACTTCTTGCTACACATCTAAATGTATATAGCCAGTTCCTTGATCTTAGCCAAACTCAAGACTTTTGCCCATTCTCATTGTTAATCCATAACCCAAAGCAGCTGATCCATCCACCGGATGAGATGTTTCCTTCTGGTCTGAGAGTGTGTGGAATGCTCTCTATCAAAATGGAAGGGACACAGACCAGCCACAATATATTTATTTCTAGAAAAAGTTTACCTTGCCTGGGACACTTCAGTTGCTTTTTTTTTAATAGCATTTTTTTCCATTTCTTAATCCTAGTCTTTCAATTTAAAAAATGCATGTAAGAATATCTTCAATTAAATATTTCATACAATGCTAAATTATTGTGTTCTAGGATTACTGTCTACATATTTCTAGCTGAAAACTCGGTTTTGACAGTCAGCATTTGAAAAAATAATTTGGGGCTGTACTTAGACCATATTTCTCAAACGCAACTCTATTTAATTGTGTATGTGTTTCTTAGGATATGAAGGTGAAGATGCTAAAATTACCTCTTTGTTAATACAAGCAAATTCCTCTTAGTAATGACTTCATCTGAAATAATAAAAAAGAACTATAAGAGGTGTGCTATGCATATATAGTTTTTTTCTTTTGAGTAAATTAGAGTTCCCATGGAACCATTTATAGCTACCCTGGTAAAGTTCCTTTTAACAGTGTTGCTTACTAGACTTAATTATTGGACTTTAAAGGATGGTTGTCATGGGTCACAATCTGGATGTAATAAGAAAAAAATTATATTGGAAAATGTAAATCTCATATCAGAAATATTTGTTGTTAAATATGTCTCCAGGGTTGGTTATAGATTTTAAAAAAAGAATCAAAATTTCCAAAGTACTAGGAAATTAAGTAATAAAATGAAGCAAGTTTTAGATTCTTAAGCACATGCATTAAGCCCAACCAAAGCTTTTGCTTACCTGACTCACTTTCAGGGGCAAACTGAGTGTGGTTTCTGCAGGAGGACTTCATGGCAAGTCACTGAAACTAGAAGAGAAACGACCGTTCACTCTATGTTTTAAAGGCTCCTAATTGCAGTTATCTTTATGTTATGGATGCTACTGTGTGATGATTGATCTTTCGTTCTGCCTTCACTCACATGGTAATCAATTAGTAGGCAATGAAGGAGTTGCTACTTAATTTCAGAAAAAATAAGGGTTTCATAATTTCAGAATTCTTTTTTGAGGGGGTACCAGGGATTGAACTCGGGTCCTTGCGCTTGGAAGGCAGGCCACCGAACCAGTGAGCTAAATCCCTGGCCCCTCAGAATTCTAATTATTAAAAAGTGATTAGGATTGCCATAAATTTCCACCTCCCTGGCATCGTTTGAAACTACTTTTGCAAAATTAAATATATATCTCTAAAAGGAAATAGTAAGAGTTGTTAAAGAAAATAGTTATATTTTATATATATTTAAAAATCAATTTAAAACTCCACTTGGATCAGCTTC